AAACAATTAAGTCACTTAACCTTTCTCCGCAGTCGGTAAGCCGAGAATTATTGCGACGGTGTTCTCATTTAACACCGATTAAGGACGAGTTGATTTATGAGAGGTCCAGACCTACCATATTAATTGGTCAGGACAATTGGCATCTCATAGTTACTCGTGAATTAATTTCAGGAGGTAAGAACCTACCTGTAGCATCGCTTACCAAGCTTGGATGGGTTTTAGGGTTTTACATGGTCACATATCGGGTGGCATTAAAGCAATCAAGATTGTTAACCATATTTCCACCAAGAATGAAGAAGACATGGAGAAGTTGATCAAGGATTATTTTAGTTTGGAATCTTTGGGAGTGTCTGCGCGTAAGCCCGCAAACGACCCAGAAGAACGAGCTTTAAATATTTTGAACAAAATGGTACGTCGTATACCTAATAATAGGTACGAGACTGCTTTGTTATGGCGCACAGATAATGAGTGCATGCCGTCGAATAGAGCACAGGTTGAAAGTCGCATGTTTAATATCGAAAGGAAGCTCGATAAGAATAGCGAGTTGAAAAAAGAATATGAGAAGCAAATTGAAAATCTCATCGTTAACGGTTACGCAGAGAAAGCGAACCATATTTCCATTTCCCCACGCACGTGGTATCTTCGTCACTTCGCAGTGACTCACCCACAAAAAAGGAAAATAAGGATAGTTTTCGACGCCGCCGCAAGGACGGGCGGACGTTGTCTCAACGATGCATTGTTAACCGGACCGGACTTATTGAAGTCGTTATTTGGCGTTCTGCTACGATTCAGAGAAGGGAGCGTGGCAGTGATGACAGACATTAAAGAAATGTTCCTGCAAGTGAAAGTTCGTGAAGAAGACAGGGACAGCCTTCGATTCTTATGGCGGCACAATCGTGACGCGCCACCGGAAGAGTATAGAATGACGTCACTCATATTTGGAGCGGCATCATCACCATGCATCGCTATATATGTGAAGAATAGAAATGCGCAGGATAACGCACATCTCTATCCCGAAGCAGCTTCCGCGACCGAAAGCAATTTCTATATGGATGACTATCTACAGGCATTTCCCGACGTGACGACGGCCGAAAAGATAGTAAACGATATGTATGAATTACATAAACGTGCTTCTTTCCAACTGAGGGGATGGGCTAGCAACCGCCCCGAGGTTTTATGTAAAATGGAAAATAAATATAAGAGCGACAGTGCTTCGCTGGGAGATAAGGAGCACACAGAACGCACTTTAGGTTTGATCTGGAATATCAAACAAGATGTAATGAGTTTCTCCATAAGTCTTAGTAACACACCGGAAGAGGTGATGGAAGGTTTACGACCGCCTACGAAGAGGGAGATAACTAGCGCTGTGATGTCAGTCTTCGATCCTTTAGGACTCGCATCACCCATAACGATTCAAGGGAAGTCGCTAATCCAGCAAGTATGGAGGACAGGCATCTCTTGGGATGAAGAAGTTCCATACGAATTACACGTGTTATTTTGTAAATGGATATCGAAAGTGAATGGAGAAGCACAGGGAAAAGAATATGCCTCTGCATTTTTTATTCCTAGACCTGCAGAAGGCCTTTGACTGTGTTCCTAGGGAGATGATCTGGTGGGCGTTGCGGTCGAAGTTGGTACCAGAGACCTACGTGGAAATCGTACGTGACATGTACCGCAACTCCGATTCAATAGTCAGGACCGCTGTTGGTGATACCACCCCCTTCCCCATAACCATAGGCGTGCATCAGGGCTCCGTCTTAAGCCCCTATCTCTTCAGTGTGATATTAGACGAACTGTCAGCCAGCGTACAGAAACTACCGCAGCCTTGGCTGCTTATGTACGCTGATGATATCGCACTGGTAGATGAGGACAAAGGACGGCTCACCAGACGCGTGCACGCATGGAGGGAGGCGCTTGAGAACGGCGGGCTGAAGCTAAACGTGGCGAAGACGAAGTATATGGCCTGCAACAGCACAGATCTGACGTCTCTCCGTATAGGCGGCGACACCGTCGAGCGCACGGACAACTTCAGGTACCTCGGATCTGTGCTTGATGCGTCCGGTGACATCGATCGCGACATCAAGGCCCGTATATCAGCGGCTTGGGCGAAATGGCGCGAGGTGACGGGTGTCATTTGTGACCCCAAAATGCCGGTCAAGCTGAAGGGACAGGTCTATAAGACCATCATAAGGCCTGTCCTTACGTACGGCAGTGAGGCGTGGCCGGTGCTGGAGTGACACCGGCAGTTGTTGCATGTCACGGAGATGAACATGCTGCGGTGGATGTGTGGCGTCACACGGAAAGACCGTGTACGGAATACATACATCCGCGGCAGCCTCCATGTCCGTGACATTGCTGACAAGCTGCAGGAAAGTCGCCTCCGCTGGTACGGCCACGTCTTACGACGACCAGCAAGCTACGTGGGAAACAAATGCCTGGACATGACCTTACCTGGTGCCAGGAGTAGAGGACGGCCCAAGAAACGCTGGCTTGATGTCGTGCAGGATGACATGCGCGCCAATGGGCTAGTTGTGAGGGACGCCGAAGACCGGGCAAAGTGGAGGAGGAAGTGTCGGAAAGCGGACCCTGGGTTCTCCCGCGCTGGGCGGGATGAGCAACCGGGATAAACGCTAGGTAGAAGAAGAAGAAGATATCGAAAGTGAAGAAATTAGGTCATTTAGAAGTACCTAGACCCGTTGCTGAAGGCGTCGGCACAGGTGAGTTACACACTTTCACGGATGCTAGTGAGAAAGCATACGCCGCCGCGGTGTATTACGTCACCACGGACAAGCTAGGAGAAAGGCGGGTTACGCTGATCGCCGCAAAGGCAAGAGTAGCGCCGCTGAAGCCAATTTCCATTCCAAGGCTTGAACTGCAAGCAGCTCTTATGGGCAGCCGATTAGCTGCATCAGTTAAAGAAGAGAGCAAGTACGAGATATCCGAACGAATATTTTGGACGGACTCACGTACAGTGTTAGCGTGGATTAAGTCAGATCCTCGCGCCTTTAAACCATTCGTTGCTCATCGATTGGCTGAGATCGAAGATCACAGTAAACCATGTAAATGGCGATGGGTACCGACGTCACAAAACGTGGCAGACGACGCCGCTAGAAGTTTTCCTTCCACCTTCGATGAAAGTCATCGCTGGTTTCAAGGACCCGAATTCCTCCGGACAAGTCCTGATTTATGGCCCTAACAAGTGGACACAAAAAGAAAGACAGCAAAAGATTTCTGATTCCGAAGACGATAAGCAGTCTATATCATACTTCTTGCCTCCTATCTATTCCAAATAAAAAAAAAACAGTAAATAAAATAGATTCATCAGATCAGATTTTGAAGAAGATGAAGAATTACAATAATTGAAAACGGTTTGGTAGAGCAGAAAACCACATCTCAAAATAAAAAAAAAACAGGTTCTTTAAGAATAAAAATCATTGTCTAGTTTCTCCTAATAGCTCTTAGTGCTAAGCATGAATAAAGTTTTAATATTCTGTTACGAGCTTGGGGTTCGAGACAATTAAAAACTGCCGATTGAATTACCAAAATTGACACTTTAATTACACAACACTAATTACAATCTAAAACCACACTAATAATAAAACACAATTGTACTACTGATCACTTAAATTTGTAGTTATTTCGCTTCGAAGTATTCTCTTGTATCGCCAATTCAATACCCCTCGGTCGTGGTCTATACCGGCCTTATATAGGGCCTCAGATAGTTTCCAGAACCTTCTACTGTAGCGACATCTAGAATGTTCGAGTAAATATCGGTCCCGAAATTTCTGGAAGGATCTTGACTCTCCTAGTTCTGCTACTCGACACTAGGGGACGCTAGTGTAACTAGTGTTGCCATGTACAAGACATTAATAGTGCCTCGCAACAATTCTTTAAACCACAGCACATTTTAGTTTACACTAAGCAACTTTTCAAATTTATATAATAATAATGTACCTATGCTAATGCTAAGCAAAAAAGCGGTTCCGTGAAATTGATGTATATTTAGCCACCTTTTAGTTTAGTTTCACTTGTATTTAATTTGATTATTTGCTGCTAAACTATACTATAAGGCGGTCAAATCACAAAACAGCAATGAAGCTTAGTCTAAGAGTGTAATTTAAACAACGCGTCAGAAATAAAAATAAGTTAAAGTAGGTTAGCCGCATTTTTGTTTATGATTATTGTCAGTGCTATACTAAAAAGCAGTTAAGGTATAATACTTAACTGCCTTTTATATTGTGATAAACATTCAGATATAATGATTCAATACTTACGTTAACTACATTTTAATATTTTACAGAACAGTATGCCAATAATTTCAGTCAAAAATGTGTATGAAAGATTCGTAATTTCTTTTACATACATTCTAATAGTTGAAATATTTTTCTCATTGATATCTATCAAGGAAACTGATTTCGAGCTTTTTTAAAATTTTTCTCGAAATATACATTTGTGGCTTACCCGATGCATTCCGTATCAGGGCAGACTTGTCTACTTCATATCCCATTAGTTGTCCACTGCTGGATATAGATAAGGGATATATCAAATATCAATTAAATCTACATATTGTTACGAGCTTGGGGTTCGAGACAATTAAAAACTGCCGATTGAATTACCAAAATTGACACTTTAATTACACAACACTAATTACAATCTAAAATCACACTAATAATAAAACACAGTTCGCCGTTATTTCGCTTCGAAGTATTCTCTTGTATCGCCAATTCAATACTGCCTCGGTCGTGGTCTATACCGGCCTTATATAGGGCCTCAGACAGTTTCCAGAACCTTCCACTGTAGCGACATCTAGAATGTTCGAGTACATATCGGTCCCGAAATTTCTGGAAGGATCTCGACTCTCCTAGTTCTGCTACTCGACACTAGAGGGCGCTAGTGTAACTAGTGTTGCCATGTACAAGACATTAATAGTGGCGCGCAACACTTTCTTTTACTCGACACTAGAGGGTGCTAGTGTAACTAGTGTTGCCATGTACAAGACATTAATAGTGGCGCGTAACACTGCCCCCTCCTAAGACATGCTCGTCCCGAGCATTATTGGCTCCATAATAACGCGCCAGTCGATCCCCATGGACAATCTTAGGAGTACCTCTGGCACCTTTCTGTATCCGGTAGGTTACGTCATTGATCCTTGTCACAATCCGGTACGGTCCGTCCCATTTAGCTTGAAGCTTAGGAGATTTCCCTTTGCTGCGAACTGGATTGTGTAACCACACTAGAGAACCTTCATCAAACCCCTTGTTGTTTATTTTGCGGTCATACCGTGTTTTCATCTTCTCAGACGTTTGCTGGCCCGTCTGTCTGACGTGCTCATAAATGTCATTCATTTTGTTCCGCAAGTCATTTGCATAATCGGTTATACTGCGTGGGGCATTTGGTGGTATTCCGGTGATCAGGTCTGCAGGCAGCCGTAATTCTCTCCCAAGGTTTGCGAAAGCTGGCATCAATGATGTACTTTCGTGAACAGCGCTTCGATATGACAACAAAAACGGTTGTATGTGCCTGTCCCAGTCTCGTTGCCGTTTTTCCACAACTTTTGCCAGGTACCTTTCCAATGTCTGATTAAATCGTTCTACCATTCCATCAGATTGTGGGTGGTAAGAAGTTGTTCGTGTTTTATGAGTACCCATAACTCTGCAAGTTTCCTGGAATATTTCAGACTCGAAATTCCTTCCTTGATCGCTGTGAATCTCTAAAGGTACTCCAAAACGACAGAAGACTTCATGAACTAGTTTATCTGCAATTGTTGAAGCTTCTTGATTTGGAATGGCGAAGACTTCTGGCCACTTAGTGAAGTAATCCATCACAACCATGAAATACTTGTTACCACTTTCACTTTCCGGAAACGGCCCCGCAACGTCAATGGCTATCCTCTCCCATGGTGCACCAACATTGTACAATTTCAATGCGCCTCTACTACGAATTTGAGGTCCCTTTACAGCCGCACAACTTGTACATTTGCGGCACCAGTCCTCGACATCGTCACGACAGTGGACCCAGTAAAACCGTTCTCGGATTTTCAGTAGAGTTCGTTTAACTCCCAGGTGGCCTCCTGAACAACCACTATGGTACAGCTGTAGAACATCCGGTACTTTAGCCTTAGGGACAACCATTTGCAAATGACATCTGTCTCCCCGACCATTTTCCCATTTACGGCACAGGACTCCATCCTGAATCAGCAAGCTCTCCTATTGGGCCCAATAGCTTTTCGTGGTCGAACTCATTGCTGAGACGTCGCTCCACTTGGGCTTAGGAGCACTGGCCTTCATCCATTCCAGAATCGGCTTAATGTCCGAATCTTCCTGCTGTGCATGTTGTAGGCTGTCCTTCCACTCATTGCTGTGCTGGTCTGTCCTGAGCATTCTCACAGCCATCACGTTGTCAACCCGATTGTTCACTTGGTCGATTCGGGTTTCAGCTTCCGACAGGCGGTTGTCATGTTGAGCAACCCTATCCTTCACCTCCTTTATCTCTTTCCCGAAGGTAGCGTGAAGGTCCTTCCTGAGGAGCATCTGTTCTTCCATACCGCGCTGCAGCTGCTCTTCCAACCGACGGGTCTGTTCCTCTTGTCGGCGGGCCTGTTCCTCCTGTCGGCGAGCCTGTTCCTCTTGTCGGCGAGCCTGTTCCTCCTGTCGGCGAGCCTGTTCCTCCTGTCGGCGAGCCTGATCCTGCAGCATCATCATCAGAGCACCTAAGTCAGGTGCTGCAGATGCAGGAGCTGCTGACGGGCCGGCCTCCGTGGTTAGCAGCTGCCCCTCCGACGTTTGCGGCGTTGCATTACCAAATCGTCTCTGGTCCGTCTCCTGTTGGCGTTGACTTCGGGTACGGATACCCTCCGTGTCGTCTTTAGGTAAAATCGGCATATTTGATCCCACTTCTGACACCAATTGTTACGAGCTTGGGGTTCGAGACAATTAAAAACTGCCGATTGAATTACCAAAATTGACACTTTAATTACACAACACTAATTACAATCTAAAATCACACTAATAATAAAACACAGTTCGCCGTTATTTCGCTTCGAAGTATTCTCTTGTATCGCCAATTCAATACTGCCTCGGTCGTGGTCTATACCGGCCTTATATAGGGCCTCAGACAGTTTCCAGAACCTTCCACTGTAGCGACATCTAGAATGTTCGAGTACATATCGGTCCCGAAATTTCTGGAAGGATCTCGACTCTCCTAGTTCTGCTACTCGACACTAGAGGGCGCTAGTGTAACTAGTGTTGCCATGTACAAGACATTAATAGTGGCGCGCAACACTTTCTTTTACTCGACACTAGAGGGTGCTAGTGTAACTAGTGTTGCCATGTACAAGACATTAATAGTGGCGCGTAACAATATGTTATAACTGCTACACGGTTCCGAACATAACGTAGAAATTAGAGCATTATACCGAAGGCCACGCAACAAAAACATTTTGACATCTGCATGGTACGGTCACATGAGTAAAGAAACTACGGTACGGTTTTTTTTACTCATGTGGTACGGTCAGGGCCCCCGTAAGTGCTACTGGCGCCCGTGTGCAAAAAAGGATTTTGGCGCCCCTTAAGGCATTTTGGATCATGTTTTTTTTATTTATTTTTTTGAAGGTAGGTAGGTAGGTAGGTAGGTGCTTGAAATAAAGCAAAAAACTGAACTTTAGAAGTCATATTTATTTGTAGACTAAAATATCAAAATGAAATGTTATTAAAAAGATTGTTCCAATAATTACATGTAATCCATGAAATCCTGTTGCTAAAAAAGGTTGACCCATAAATTCTATCTGCCATAGTAAAAGGTGCTTCAAAATATTCATATGCTTGAAGGATTGTAAAATAAATGCCTAATATAATAGTAATAAATAATCTTTGTATAGTTTGAGAATAATTATTTTCTATTAATGCATGATGAGCTCAAGTTACAGTTACACCTGATCTAATTAAAATAATAGTATTTAATAAAGGAATTTGAAAAGTATTAAATGGGGGGGGGGGGATTAAATTAATTCATAACAAAATAAATTAAAATAAATTCTTTTTGACACCCATTTTAAACCATTTACTTAACTAATGGGGTACAGACACGTTGTTTATAAATACTAGAAATCAACCCAAAACCTAAAAATCACATCTTTTTTAGGAACAAATAACAGAAATATTGCAGCAGGTATTTCGGTAGCTGACATTACCGAACTTCTTACACAAGCTGAATTACCTGAAGTGGATTGTTCAAGTGCTGTAGACGAGGATGGTGTCATCGCTTCATCGGGCTCTGCATGAAGCTGTTTTGCTGCTACAACCGCCGCCACTTGTTGCAGGACCTGATGTTACCGTAGTAGCCTCTGTTGAAATTTCAGATGGTCCACTCACGGTTCCTGATATTACGGATTTAGAATCTTGAGATTCGGTCGCATCGATAGTCTCCGTAGAATCTTCATTGTTTTGCAAGACGTGCTTTAAAGATCCAGCCATTTTTCCTTTTCTTATAGTCTCAGTTTCTTTTGCCCGCGAAACATCGCACCTGAAGGTCTCTTTCTTTTATCCTGAAAAAACAAAAAAAATATTTATTACTTATGGGAATTAGGAATCAACTTCTAAAGTAATCACAATAATAAGCACCAAGTTTGCATATTCCATATTTAAGTAAAGAGCAATTTGTTCGAGCCCTTTCAGCTTAAACCCTTACAAAAATAAAGGCAGAAAAAGTATTAAACTAATTTGATCTTATAACCCTTAAAAACCTACGAAATGGTTTTTTAAAAAGATCGATAGCATAAAAACTAAGCGAGTTATGGATAAAAAACCAATTACTTTTTTAAACACGTACAGGGTCTTTGACTATATTTACGTGCTTCCTAGAGCCTTTATTTTGTCGGATAGAAAAAAAATGTTTTATGCAGAAGTTGTAGGTTTTTTCCTATATAATCTATTGAAGTTATCAGATAAAAACAGGAAACAGACAGGAATAGGAAACAGATAGGATTCCTATAAAGGGTTAATGTTGATAGTATAAAATAAAGTAGGGAACACTTACCATTTTATAAAAAATCAAACCATTGAACACAACACTTGACAAAATAAAAATAATTTTAAATGTAGAAATTAATAGGATTACTTGTTTTTACGCACTTGTTGCACGTTCCAGTGAACTAACCGGTTTAATTTTTTTTTTTGGAAATTTTTGCAATTTTTGACCCTGGGTTTTGGCGCCCCTAAAGGATGGCGTCCGTGTGCATTGCACACTATGCACATATGGTAGCGGGGGCCCTGGGTACGGTGACAAATGTAACCACTGTTATAAAAACAAGAATATTATATTTAAGACTTTACTGCTTACGAGTTTACAATGCATTTAAAAAATAAGATTGAAAATCCGCCATCTTTAATCGTATTGGTCAACAAATCAAAATTTTTGAATATGTAAAATGTTTAATAAAGACATTAAAATAGTAGTAATAGACCGGACATCAGCAACAATATGGTCACCTCTTACTTATGTCCTATATGATATATTTCGGATTTGTATCATTTAGTCTTAGTGACATCGTTAAATGCTCAAGACTGAAAGTGACCGCCGACCGAAATTTGGTCAGGAGGACATGAATGTTACACTGGATATAAATATCGCAGTCGCAGGGGTTCAATTAGCCAGTTAATTGGTCGGGTGCTTATATCAATTTGATAACGTATTTTCAATATATTTCTTTCAGAAACACAATTTAAGGCGCACGTTGAGCAAAATGTCGCGCTAGTCGTTGTTTGTGCGGTTTTTAGGAGCTATCTACTTTTTATTTAAAAGATATATCAACAAATAAAAAACACATTATATTTCTACATAATCTTGATTCCATAAAAGCTATATCCAAATTTTTTTAAAAGGAATAAATATTAATATAATCTCCTTACAACGAAACCACATAAATGTGAAATTATTATTGATAACATGCATCTCCTCGTAAAGTAAGTATTATTTTATTTTGCGATTTACACCAACGGATAGGCAATTTATTAAAGAACATTTCTATTATTTTTTTTTTTTGAAAAGACCAAAATTTGATTTTATAAAGAAATTATTTTAAAATCTGGGCGTATTCACTGCCCACGGGCTTGCTGGAGTCAGTGAGCGCTGAGCTCTTAGACTTGGAACCCGTGTCGTTAGAGCGTCTGCCAGCGCACACGCTCATGTCATCTTATCAGTCGATAATATTATAATATTATTACTTATTAGGTTATTTATAGGTAGTATTATTTGTTTGTTTTGGGTATAATTTTTCGTATTAGTTATACATATATTTGTTGTGTTTTTTACTGCGCGATGAAGCTTTTTGCGTGTATTTTCTTTGAAGTAAATGCAAATAAAAAAATGAAGCACCATTACCATGTAAGGTTCGAATCCATAATTAACATTTCGACAAATATTATAATTTACACTATAAAAGGCTAATTCAATATTATCAGTATAGTATACAGTTAAAAATAATCCTAATACGCAACCACAATATCTTGTCGTTGGTCTAGTGGTTGTAGTAGTGCGACTGCTGATCATGAGGTCTCGGGTTCGAATCCCGGGTCGGGCCAGAAAGTCAGTTACGAGTTTTTCATTTATTTTATTTTAATTGTATAAAGTTATAGTTATTAGAGTATAAATAAACCCATGTCCTGTTTTGAGTTAAAAAATAAATGGTCAGTTTAGTTTTTTTTAGTTAAATTTAGTTTTAAAAAATTTTAGTTTATAGTAAAAAGTAGGTATATTAATACCTACTTAGATACTTTTTACCGAATTAGGGTGGAAGCCCCTAATAGCAGTCATGCCCCTAATTCCAGTCTTCGCCTTTTTACTCCATAAATAAGATTTCTAGTAGTCTTAACTACAAATATTGTCATCTAAAAAATTCTTTGTACCTAGAGGAAAGTATATTTATTCAAATATTACCTCGCAGTTTTAAACCTAACAGTGTTAAAATCAAAACAGGTACGCAACGAAAAACTATCATTTTCCTAATTATTTGAAAAGTTATAATCCCGGTAAAATTATGCTTACTTTACATTATCTCAAATATAGGCTTTTTGATTTGTATGAATATGACTATAGACATAGTAATGCAGTTATTTTTGTTTGAATTTACAAGTTA